GAAAACAACAATATTCCTTGAAAATTAGTTCAAGCTATTACTTTTTCAGAAAAGATCAAACGCCATTGCATCAAAAATGGCTCCAAATATTTTCCTCGACCTTTTCCAACAGAGAGTGATAATTGCACTGTTTAAGATGACATAGAATTAATTTTGTTTATTCATTTATTTCTTAAAAAAGTACACAAATGTAATTATTTTAAAAAATCTCTCACGCCTTTAATATTCATATATCCAACCATTTGTAAACACTATTGCATTTGTGAATAAAAGAGCTTTAAATGACGCCATATGAAGTTTTTCGAAAACTCAATAGTTTTCAGTGAAAAGAAGTTCAAATTTCGAATTTACAGTAGCGATTAAATGCCATTTTCTTAAATACGACTTCAAAGTTTTCAAAGAAACGTTCCACTGAGGATGAGGTTTTACTGTCCTGTGAGTGCGGATCATGCCAGGGGCAACTCAGGGTTACCTTCACTTCCGAGCGTTTACAGGAAGAGTGGACACAAACATGCAATACGGTGTTAATATGTCAGATACCGATCAGCATGTCTCGTAATCCTGAACCCGTACACCGAGCCGATACAGTGCAGAAACTTCACCATGAGTCGAGTGTTTTGATTTTGCGTCTAGTGTCATGCTAACGTAGTGCCGTGCTTCTGAACTAAACATTTTTCTTGATTTAGGTTTATTACAACTTCCCAAAGACCATGTTTAACGGATGCACATTTAAAGACATTGTTGTAAGTACAGTATACGGTGTCCTTCTAAATCTGGAAAAATCGTGAATAATAATTTGAAATTCTTTAGATATATTTTCCTTAATGGTGCAAAATTTCTCCATAGTATATAAGAGGCTAAATACTTAAGATTTGGTACGCATTGTGAAGCTTGTACATCGCTGGCTGAGGGCTAATTTGAAAGCTCGAGTAGCACACATTAATCTTTGAAAAACCACCATCTTCGACTTGCAAATGGGAAGTGTTTCTGAGCTTGTCGTAAATGTTAAATGTACATATACATTTTTATTAGTTTTCATTTAATTAAGAAATGTTTATTAAAATCATCTCCCCTTTATTGTTGTAAGTTAATTCATTCTTCACAGAATGTTCACGTTGGCGTGTTTTCACATACTTTGAATACAAATATACAATACTAGCTGACCCTGTGTGATTATATCGCACAGACGAAAGTACAGTAGAAACGTGAAGACAAAATTCCATATCCATGAATATACATCGTTTTATATTTACCAAGACCTTTATATGTATACATGGATGTTGTTTTGGCCTATCCTAAAGCAATTCCTGCTGTCAACCACACCGGTACCATACCTCATTGTGTGCAACAAAATGTGTGATTGATTGTTTTAGTGATTCCAGGCACGTCAACTACAATGTCATTATTCCCGTAAGTGTCGTGAATGTAGTGTACTTTTTACTAAGGAGGTGGCGGTGGTCTCCCCTCGCTGGCTGGCGAGATCCGGCGCCGACCTACCGTCGGCTAGCAGGGTTTTCCCCCAACCAGGGTAAATGAATCTGGGACACAGCGTCTCCCGGAATGATTGATTGGTTAGTGTTTCCAGATGCGGAATCTGCTAAGGTAATTAGTGTCGTAAGTGTAATGCGTGCTTTATCACGGGAGGAGGCTGTAATTTTCCGCTGCTGAATGGTGAGATCCAGTGTCGACCTACACGTCAGTTTGATTTTTCCCAATCAGGTATCAGCCACATGCAGGACACCACCCCAGCCGGGACAAGATCCCGACTGGTCTCCAGACTTGTGTGGTAGTGTGAGTAAGGGATGACGATAGGACAAGGGAGAAGTAGGAAAGATCGCGCGCACTTCATGGTCCGTTTGTTAGTGTACTGCTCCGGCATTCGCCTGGTGTTGATCGGAGAAATCACGGAAAACTACTGATCAGAGCAACCGGCCGCCAGAATTCTCCACCAGACAGCGACTTAATTTGACCTAGCTGACAAGCTAGTGTTGAAAATCCTGCCACCGTCGGGACTCGAACCTAGGACCTCCCAGTCAGAGGGACTGCAGTAACATCAGTTGAAGCCCTGCTCCATCTCTCCCGGTACCACTAATAACAAAATGTATGAAATACAATTTCCAAATAATAAACAGAACTCCCTCGCCTTTTTCATGTTTTCCGTAGATATCACAAGTATGATTTATAAGAATGTACATTGAATACCTACAATTGAAGGCCACAAACAATCTTTTTAACGATTACACAACACTACGTTTTCGAAAGAAGAACAACTGTTTTGCCGCAAACTTGCCATGTTGCGCATGACGCCATCTTCCCGTTTCCATTGCAGCCGCGCATTTCAATGAACACAAATATAGCTTTTTATTAACAAAGGGTAGCTATGATGTATATTGATTTTGACACCTGCTTTTTTTCACTTTTTATTGTTTGTTTAAAACCTGGGAGCTGAAAAGAAGGGACATCAAAATCGTTCTCTTTACTACTTTAATATATATGATGTGGAGAGATCTCTTTTTAATAGTGCCACATACAGCAATTTTTTAACCCATCTCTAAGGATTTGTTCACGACTAAATAAATGAGCGCACCACGAGCAAGCTGCACTAACGCGCCAGAGGACTCACCTAGGAAGTCGGTGTTGCCGTACATCTCGCTGCGGCGGCTGGCCACGAACGATCCCTCACGGAAGAACACGTGCACGCGCGTCATGTGCCACCTGCGCAATGATTGATTGATTGATTAGTGGTTCTGGGCGCGCCAAATGCTAAGGTTATTAGTCCTGTAAGTATGGTGCATGTTTTTATTGAGGGAGGTGGCGGTGATCTTCTCCCTGGCTGAATGGTGGGATTGGGCGCCGACCTACACCCGATGTTGATCGGAGAAACAACGGTAAAGTACCGATCAGAGCAGCAGGCTCAAAGGTAGTGACTGAATCCGAGCCAGATATGTAGCTAGTGGTTGACAATCCTGCCACAGTCGAAACTCGAACCTTAGAAACTCGACCCACCTTTTCGACCCACCTGCGCATTGGATGCGTGGGAGAGGCAATATTATGTTGGCAGGGCTATCTGGGACGATCCGCGTCAATGTCGTCCCGGATAGCCCTGCCAACATAAACTCCGGTCGCGGAAGCCTACGCAACCAGAAGCAATATTAATCTGCTAGTCTATTCACAGTCTAGGGCAGGTCGTCTTTGTCCACAACGTCCACTCCCTAAGAACCTTCGCCACTCTGAAGTGAATTGTGTCAATATAATAATATATAGAATGCTTCAATAACTGTTACAAACTTCTAGGTCGTGTAGAGGGTCGAAGATTATATCTTTCTGCCAATGTAGGATATCTCAAATAACGATGTTACATATGATTTAATTCTCCTGACAGTAAAGCAATTCATCTTGGTCTGGTGTTTGGCAGGTTCCTTCGACTGCGTTGGAGCATATTCCTCCGCAACACCAGTTCAAGATGAATCAACCAAGATAAATCAAGCAATCAGTAAATGTAACATGTGTTACTTCGTTATTTGATTTCCAAACAAACGTTTATCGGGAAAAGTTATCTTCGACCCCTATTTGCACTAGAATATTTAATCTGAACCTCCCTGCGTTAAAAAGATAATGCAAAAATATTTTTTAATTACTAATACTTATACATGTTTTTTAAAATTTATTTTGAGAAATTTCTAAGTGAAAAAATTATTTTGAAAAATTTTCCGTCTTACAAACGTCATGACACAAATTATTCATTTTAGACACCCACTAGTAACGGCGGATACTTTTAGAAAATGCACAGCAAGCTAAGTTCAGCTTTTAGCACTATTGCTTAAAGTGAGAGAATTTTCAATTATTCCGATAAAACTCGTAATACAACAAAGAAAACAACAGCATCGTCTGACAGCATTAGCTATAACTGACCTTAACGTAAAATAGTTCAGTACTCAAGTAACATATGAATTGTATACTTGAATTAGAATATAACGAATGTCAGTAAGGCTGTCTCAAAATAGAATATGACGAACATGGTAAAAGTGATTTTATTTTGCACGTAGGATTGCGCCACTCAACCTATCTGCCACGCATCGCGAACTTCGCTATTCGCAAAGTAAAATGCCGCTTTTACCACTTGCCTCATAAATAACATTTAATATACCAGCGTTATAAACGACTTTTTTCATTACAAGAAATATTTCATAAAATGGTATTTTATTGCACATATTATGACGTAATCGTGTAAGCCATTTATGTCTCAAAATAATTGCATTATCACCCATTCTGCCAATAGTAGCAAACGAATCGTGGCGAGGCGCCAGTAAACATCACAGCCAACCGAATCGTGGGGTGTTGGCATTTAGCAGCACAGCCGACCCTCATTTTTTCGCACAATTAGATTTATTTAATCAAAATCAGTAAAAACCTGTATGTGACGTATGAACGAGATCATTTGCGTACGTTTTGTTGAGTTCCAAAATTCTATCCAACTATAAATAGTTGAAATATGAGTAAAAGGTAAAACTTAAATAAATAAATAAATACATGAATAAATAAATAAATAAATAAATATAAAAATAAATATATAAATATAAAAATAAATATATAAATAAATAAATAAATAAATAAATAAATAAATAAATAAATAAATAAATAAATAAATAAATAAATAAATAAAGAAAGAAAGAAAGAAAGAAAGAAAGAAAGAAAGAAAGAAAGAAAAATAAACTTTAATAAAGTGCGAGATAAGCAACATTTGAAAAATCAGACATTTTCGTAACCGAGTTATAGAATGCCAATTGTCAAATACACGTGACGTCACAATACAGTTGTTTTAAAATATTCACTTTAATTATTTTATAAGTTCGTAATGCTGTAATAGAAAAAATATCGTACGCAACTCATTGACAATGTTGCTTTATAGCATTCGCCCAAATTCGAACAGATGCAACAAACTATAAACTAGTTGCAGAATGCACGGTTGTGGCTTGGGGAGTGGGCGAAGGAAGCGCTCATCACCCGTGCGAGTGGTCGACGTCCTCGCCGGTGGCGTAGAGCATGCGCGCCCAGTCGAAGTGCGCCTGCGAGCGCTCGCTGGTGTAGGCGAGGGCGGAGCACGACTGCAGGCAGTCGCAGTCACCCTCGCCTTCGCCCTCGCCCACAATGTCGCCGCGCAGGCCCTGCTCCGCCTCGCGTCGCAGTAGTCGATCTGCGAAGATACCCACACGCTGCACTTCACATTGATATTCACATTAGTATGGATATGGATTGATATTGATTATAATATTGATATTGATTGATATTTTTTGTTAGTATTGAAATTGGTATGCAATGTATCGCCCTGTGTGCACATCGCCGACGCCATAATTGAGCAGTCAAGCCTACCACGACCAGAAGGGAGAGAAAGATTGTGAATTAAATTAAGGCTGCAAACAATTCGTCTGTCTAGAAATATGGACCATAACCCTTTACTATAGTTGATTTAGTTGATTTCTTATTCATCTTCCATTTTCCTTCCATTCAATTTTTTCTTTCCGTTTTAAATTCCTATACTTTTCGTCCCGTGGCCTTTAGCTTCCCTCGACGTTTTGTGCTCCGCGATTTCTCGCTCGCCCGACCAGAAGGGAGAGAAAGATTATGAATTAAATTAAGGCTGCAAACAATTCGTCTGTCTAGAAATATGGACCCTAACCCTTTACTATAATTGGCTTCTTATTCATCTTTCATTTTCCTTCCATTCATTTTTTTTCTTTCCGTTTTAAATTCCTATCCTTTTCGTCCCGTGGTCTTTAGCTGCTCTCGACGTTCTGTGCTCCGCGATTTCTCGCCCGCGCGCCCCCGTTGACCTAATGGGTCGACGTACTCTTCGTCGTTATCACGAAGTTCTCGGCGCCCATAACTCATGTAGTATACTTCCAACACATTTCATTTTCATTCAAGTTTGGAGAATATAATTCTATTTCGTTCGCATTTCTCAATGTAGGTGTTTATAGTTCATTTTAGATTTTAGTTAGTGCAGTTGTTTATGTTAACGCTTCCCATTTCAATGGATAATACAAAAACATCAGAAGCTACACAAAATAACCACGCGAAATAAAAGTGATTTTTCTAAATAATAAAAGAAAATCGTAATCCTTAGTACTCATCGTCTGTTTAACTGCATTTCAAAGGTATTCAAAATAATATTACACTTATGTTTACATGAATATCCATATGTTAACTAATTATTTTTACCTCTAGCATCTTGTACACATTTCCAACTAGCAGTTCCACATATTGTTTCGTTAACTTCACCTGAAACATAACAAAACACGAATGTTACCCAGATTCCCAGTGCTCGAGGCACTCTTTTTTCTGTTATTAAAAAGTCACAAGTAATTAATCACTATTTGTTGGGCGTTTTTATTGTAAAACTTTGTTGACAATGAGTGAGAGTAAATGTTTTCGTCAAATTTGGCATTTTATTTTGAATGATACGCAGCACGCTGACAATGAGATTGAAAATCTAACCCATCAAAGTCTTACGCAGCCAGAAATTGTTATGTTTATTGAAACAGTACTGTTGTGTACTGAATTTGGTCATACCGGTAAGGCCGCGACATGGATATATTCTCTCGTCGATTGATTTGTCAATGGGCCGAGTAGACAGATCAATGGGCAGTATTATCTGTATTTATCCATCCATTACATATTCTTATAAATTATAAATCATGGTAAGCCCGATCATGATTTGGTAATAGGTTACACGTATAACGTAAATACGTTGCCATGTGTTAAGAATCATAAGCTAAAAATCATTCTTTTAATTTATCAAATAATGTAATGGGCTTGTTAACTTGTTAATATATTCGACATGATAGAAGGGGGAGGTGGAAGAGACGGGGAGGATGATGAGGTGGAAGAGACGGGGAAAAAAGGAAAATACAAATAAAGAGGAGGAAAAGAGAAGGAGATTATGAGAAGAAAAAGGAGAAGGATAAGAATGGGAAAGAGGAGAAGCATGAGGAGAAAGAGGATTGATGCCGATCAGATCAGCGGTAGCTAGGATTCTTCTCCACACAGCGTCTGTACCCGACCTAGCTGGCTAGCTAGAGTCGAAAATCCTGTCGGGACTCGGAAATAGGACCTTCCGGTCAGATGCATTGCAGTGACACCAGTTGCTGCCCTGAGCCACTTCGTAAGGAGGGGAAGGAGAAGGAGAAAGCGGATGAGGAAAACATACGAGAAGAAGGAGGAGGAGGAGGAGGAATGGTAGGAGAATGGTAGGAGGGGGAGAAGGAGGAGGAGGAGAAGGAGGAGGAGGAGAAGAAGGAGGAGGAGGAGGAGGAGGAGGACGAGGAGGAGCTGCTGGTGCGACGTACGCGGCATGTAGAAGGGCGCGCAGCCGCAGGCGCGGCGCGTGGCGTTGGCCAGGCACTCGAGCGCGCAGTTCTGCTGCGAGTACACGCGGAAGAAGCGCAGGCGGCGCTCGCCGGCCAGGAAGCACTGTCGCTGGTGCGGCAGGTAGCTGCGCAGCTCGGGGCTGGTGCGCATCACCTGCGGCGCCACCGCCACCACCACGTCCTGCTCCAGCTGCGCGCGGAAGTACTGCTGCGACATGCGCGGGAACTCGGCTGGGCTGTGCAGCTGGATCTGCGCACACGCACACGCACACACCACTCCACTACCAGAGGCTAGGAATCTCCTCCATTACTCAACGAACCTTCGAGATGACACCGGAGTGACTCAAAACTGCCTTGAGACACGCTTCGGTTAGGTATGATGATTTATGCGAAAATAAAATTTTGAAATCCCCGACGTTTTGAAATTTTTGAAGTAAGATAATACTGGCGATTTTAAGAGTCGAAGGCTTATAAAAGATCGCCGTGAGACAATGCATTATGTACAGCAATGTACTGAAATAATGTTTGTTTACGAAAATATGAATTTACAAATTATGAAATAGTGAAGGTCGTGCTTACTACGCTAAGTGCGCCACCTTCGGCTTGAAGGTCTTCAATTTGGCAGAGGAAAAATTTTCTCTCCATTACGCAGAACTGGAATTTCTGGTTGCCAATATCGAACGTTTTGTTATACTGACGCACTCATGTTCTTTTCATTTATGTTTGCGCAACAACCGAATTCTTCTCATTCTGTACATACATACTGTGATAAGAACTCGTCCTTCCAAATTGTTGGCATTGTCGTTAAGTTCCTTAACGGGCCAAAAACAGAAGCCATCTTGCCTAAACAGCAGAAACTTTCATCCCAAAGAGGCTCAATTTATTTCTAAAGACGTCCAAGTTTATACCTCGTCACCAAATGGGATTTGTTCCTAAATATTTTTCCTGCCATCAACTTCTTAAATTAACAGAATCCATTCATTTCGGGTTTCAAAAAGGGCATCATTCCTTAGCAGATTTTCTTGATGTGAGACAAGCCGACCGACTTTAGCATAATGTCCTAATCTATAAGTTATGAAAGCTTAGTGTTCAACTTTACCTCTTTTCAATCATCAAAGTTTTCTATCAGATCGATCATTGTCAGTAAAAAAACAGTCAAATCTTTCTAACCCTCGTCTCATTGTAGCAGGCGCTTCTCAAGGCTTCTCTCTTTCCCCAATTCGCTTTAATATTTTCATCGCCGACATACCCACTTCTCGATTTATTAACACAGTCCAGTTTACAGACAACACTCCTCTATTTCTTTCAGGTCCCGAACTATACACTCTGACTGACCGATGTCAGAGACACCTGCACCAAATCGAACAATGGACTACTAAATGGAGAATCATTCTCAATCCTTCAAAATCGTTCGCAAAACGTTTCACTCTCCGACCATCATCGTCCACTGCTGCTAAACAACTCACCCATTCCTTGGTCCTCAGTCAAATACCTGAGTCACTATATAGACAAAACTAACTTGGAAAGATCATATAGAAACCAAAGTGAAGCAATCCCATTATAAACTTCACCAACTTTATCCCATTATAAATCGTAAAAGTAGCCTCAGCCCCGAAAATATAGTGCTTCCATACAAATCTATTCTCCAATTACATCTCCTTTACGCATGCCCGATCTGGTGTCACTCAGCAACATCCCACATCAACTAGACCCCAAGTCTTTCAAACCAGAATCCGGCTCATTGCAACCAAAACCCCATGGTTTGTCACCAACACAACTCACCATTCCGATTTCAACTAAAAACCCATAAAAGAGCAAATAATTCACACATCCCGCAATTGCTTCTTCCGCCTACCTAATATAAACGGTCCATTCTTTTACAACCTCCGTATGGATAGCCCTCCCTTCCTAAGAATAAAACACCGATTCATTCTTAAACCAGATTTGAATATACATATATAACTTCAGCATTTAATATCATCCCGCAGTGACTTCTGGGGGTGCGCGACGAGTTTCCCCGCTCTTAATTTTAAAGCTTAGAATAAGTCATCAATCATCTGTAGAGCCGAAAGGCTGAACGATGTAAATTCGGTCAAAAATAAATGCATATATATATATATATATATATATATATATATATATATATATATATATATATGCATGCGTAAAGGAGATGTAATTGGAGAATAGATTTGTATGGAAGCACTATATTTTCGGGACTGAGACTACTTTTACGATTTATAATGGGATAAAGTTGGTGAAGTTTATAACGGGATTGCTTCACTTTGGTTTCTAAATGATCTTTCCAAGTTAGGTTTGTGTCTATACATATTAAGGCTGCAGCGGCGGCGGCGGCCTCACCTTGAAGCCCTGCAGGGGCCCCTTGCAGAGGTAGTCGAGGTCCTTGTGGCGCAGGCGCAGCACCACGGTGAGCCCCAGCAGCGCGCCGGCGCCCAGCGCGCGCCGCGGCCGCGCCTCGAAGCCCGCGCCCGCCGCGTACCCGTCGTCCGGGCTCCACTCGGCCGCCCCCGCCTCCGCCTCCGCCTCGGGCCCCGCGCCATACGACAGGTACGCGCCCGAGCCCTGGAACCTACATCGCCGCGCCGTGGAGTTGAAGAGGCCAACGTTCTGTACATGCATAAACTTAACTGAATTCAATTAGTCTGATGAATGATGCTACAGGGACTCTTAAGAAGTGAATTATGAGGAAAGGGAGTTATGGGAGCGCAATATAGAACAAACCGAATCCCTCTAGTCAATTAGTAAATAAGTAAATCTGTTTAAATAAAATTGGTAAAAAAAATTAAATGATATATATATATATATATATATATATATATATATATATATATATATATATATATACCACNNATATATATATATATACCACGGGCGTTAACTCGTACTAATGATCGAGCGGTGACAAATAGATGAAGGGCCTTTGGCCCGAGGGCTTTTTGTCGCCGCTCGATCATTAATACCATTATAACGCTCTTGATGCATAAATAACTATCAAACAGAAGTAAAACTCTAATTGGGAACACGAGAATTTCAAAAACTATAATAATTTCAAGGGCAGCTTCAAACATTTATTGTTTGAGGGGTTAAGGTAAGTTAGTGTCACAGTTATAAAGAAGTTCATAACTCCCAGAAGCTACAAATACACCAAATGCTTCATTTAAAGAATGATAAAAGTTTCACTAATTACAAAAAAATGCAATCGATGTTTTCACGATTTCTACGGTTAACTCTGAATTTCCGATAATTGCAAAAGTTTGAATTTTTTCGGTTTCTTCCTACAACTAACCAATTTAAGACATTTTCCCTCAGATAAAAATTGTTCTCTGTAGTGAGCTCTTTCATTAAGGTCTTGTACATATTTTTGAAAATTTTAGTAATATTGCGTGCAATATGTGGAATTTCAAAAAATTACGAAAACAAGATTTTCTAAAATATTGCTCCAAATTTTTTCTTTAAACTTTTGATAGGGGTACTGCTACATGTACTCTATAAGATGACATAAACGCCTTATTGCTCTATTCTTTTTCTTTTCAAAAGTTACAAAAATGCCATTTTTCATATTTACACTAGCGACAATTTGTTCACATTATTGTATTATGTACATATATTTTAAATAATGTCATAAAAAGTTTCTTGAAAACTATCTTTTTCTGTTAAAAAAATTCAAAACTTCGCAATTTCAGAAACGTTCACACGCCGTTTTCTCAAAAAGAGCTCTAATTTTTCCTGCAAATATTTCGAACGGATAGTGCTAATTGCAGTCCTTAATATGAAATAAAATTCATTTTTTGTTTTTACTAATATTAAACAAATGTAAATTATTTGGAAGACCTCTCACGCCGTTGATATGCAAATTTCCAGCAATTTGTAAACACTATTGTATTTGAGAGTTAAAGTACTTAAAATAACTTCAAATTAGGTTTTTCAAAAACTCAAAAATTTTCTGTGAAAAAGAGCTTCAAATTTCGAATTTAAACGCCCGATTTTGCATACGGTCCCAAAATTTCATACAAAATTGCCATTTGGGACATGGTTTTACTGTTATTTAATAATCTTTATATTTCTTCTATATTTCTAAAATTAGGAAACCAAAAAATTAATAAAATGTCAAAATATGTACTTTGGGCGGCGATAGATGGCAGCAAGCAAGAATATGTGGCAATTTCGAAGAGCTAACAGGGACCAAAAGTTAATACGGGAAAGTTTGTGCCATGCTGTAGCACCACTAGTTTCTTAGTGCTGTAGTGATACAGAACAAATTTAAGTCAAATCGTTTTTCTACAAATTTATAAGTATTAAAGGTTGCGTTTACGCAACGTTGGGACTTAATGGCTTACGTCGAGGCCTGAAGTTAGTTACCAGAGCTGCCCCTTCTTCTTCTAGGCGTCCCTAGTTCTGACATGTGGCCATAAATATGAGTGTTACCAGCGCAGAAGATTTGAAAACTTTAATACTTCAACGCTTATTTTGTACCATTACAACTGAATCCAGCAAAAGTATTACGTTTTGTGCACTGATTTCGTAGTCTTGACGACTATTACAGCGCGGGCTACTATTAATAACTTCACTTAGTAATACGATTAGAGATTACAGTAATACGATTAGAGCGCGCGCTAGAGTAATACAATTAGGTGGAACACGATTTCCAAAAAAGATAGTATTTCCTCGGGAAACGTCATAGCATTTCATATGACTTTTCAACTCAAGAAAATAAATAACATAATTTCTGTCAAAAGTTATTGCCATGCACTCGGTGCTGGGACACACACACACAGATGGACAGATATAGATAGAGAGATAGATAGAGATATATTAAGTTAGATAGCCAGATAGTAATGTAGAGATTGATAGAGAGAGATGGAGGTAGATAGATATAGATATAGATAGGTAGTGAGATAGAGAAGTAGAGATTGATAGAGAGAAAGAGGTAGAGCGAGATATAGATATAGAGATAGGTAGCGAGATAGAGAAGTAGTTGATAAAGAGAGAGATGGAGGTAGATAGAGAGATATAGAAATAGAGATTGATAGAGAGATCCGCACGCGTGTACTGTACTCACGAGTCGGGCGTGAAGAGCTGCGAGAAGTGGAGCATGTTGAAGGAGTAACAGAGCCCCTCCTCCGTCATGAGCGGCTGGAAGAGCTGCGCAGCAGACACGTGCTCCCCGCGCCACTTGGCGCGGAACACGGTGTCGTTGAGCAGCGGTGCCACCTGCGCACCACGCGCGCCACCTGCTCTGCATCTGAGAGCGTAGGCTTCCGCGGCCGGAGTCAGCATTTAATTGGCTGTCTTGGTGACGGACGCCGCGTCCATGGAGGGTATTACGCTCTGAGGAAGGTCGCAGGATGGCGATCGAAACGTCGACCCCTTGTCATGGACGCGGCGTCACCCGGACAGCCAATTGAATTCTCTGCACCTCTTGCCTTGCCTACCCCCTCCCACGATTGCATTCCGAGCTCAACTTTTTTACCCCCTTCCCCAAAAAGGGGTTGCCCGATTGCATCCCGTTCGACTTTCCTCTTGAATACAAAGAAGAGCTCGCCCAGGAAACTGCTTGGAAGATGGCCCTCTCGCTTTTGTTTTTGGCAGAAAGTGAAAGAGGAAAAGATCAAATGCACTTTTCAATATAGTGTATTTTTCGAGTAATTGTATGGAAATAATCAGTTTAAAAGAGTAAAAAAAAGTTTATTATGGAATTAAATTGCAGTTACTATTCCTAATATATTGGAAATGATGATTGGTATACAGTGAGCTGTGTCATGAAGGCAGGGCAAGGAGGTCATGGTCCTTCCCAAACATATGCAGAACTAAAATAATTATAATCTAGTTAGATAACGTACCCAGATACAGAAATTCTTACTTGATCGTCTGTATTCTTTCGACTGGCGCGAGAACATCTCTATCCATTCATTACACATGAATGAAAACTGTATTAGTATGTTTATCCTTTCCTCCTTGCCATCCCAAAACACTGGCCGGTTTGTAATCGGGATAAGCCTTCCGAGTAACCAAAAGTGAAAGTGCATTTGCTGGGAAGAGGTTGTGAGGGATGCAATAGGGCAATTTCACCTCAGCCTGAGCCCTCAGCCCCAAAAGACACTCAGAATGGATGAATTGTTTAGTGCGACAACTATTATGGTCTTTAGACCCATAACGGTAGAGGGTATTACATTCCGGGAGGTGGAGTTGCTGACTCCTCGGTGGAATATGAGATACGGCTAGACTTGTAAGTCGGTTAGTAGGGATTATCTCCTCTAGGTACAAGCACCAGCGAAACAGCGCGCCAGATGGAACTAGTTAAGTCCACTAACAAGTAGTCCTTTACATGTCTGATGGTGTAGGGCATGTAGGGGCATGTGTGGGTATCTTTAATTTTGTAGTTTTGAAATGTTTTTCGAAAATTCATAACTTGTCTAAAATGGGAGAAACGCCATTTTTATTACCTTGAATACGTACGAAAAGAAAGTTTAAAGAAAAAACTTGGAGCGTTTTTTGAGAAAATGTTCACTTTTTTCAACTTTCCTGCATAAGGCGCAAAACTACACGAAAACTAATATTATTTTCGAAAACATGAACATGAATGTACTGGACGATCAGCCTTTAAGGAACAGATACCAAGAAAAAAATTCTTATCTTCAATATTGCAGTTGTAGAATGGCGCCCCAAAAATTGCATTTTTGCTTATTTCAAATAAACTGGGGTTTCAACGAACATAAGACCCGCACTATTCGCTTAATCGCCCTTTTAGCCATTGGAAGATAAAATTTAATAAAAAAACTCGAAACCATTTTTGAGAATTTTTTAAAAATGTTTTTGAGATTTGTAAAGTTTCCTCAGAAATCAAAATATATCTTTCAAACTTCCAACTAGTTCATTCAGATCGATCGGGTAATATCAATTTTGAACAAAATCGGCTGTACGGTTAGCTTTCACCATAGATGGACATACAACGAATAAGTTAGCCACCATCCAGGGCTGGGCGAGGGTCGATGGCAAAGTGGGGCTCAAATCGTGAGTGGATCGGGAAGGAGCAAGGGCGAGGGCGAGGGCGAGGGCAATCAGTGTGGACCGAATGCATTGTGTTGTTTACCCGCCAGGTTCGTTCCCTGCGCGCAGGGCCGGATTAAAATACTGCGGGGCCCCCAAGCACAAAATTATGCCCCCCCCCCGTCGTAAAAATAACTCCATCTTTACTAAATAGAAAAGTTAATACAAGGACTTTGTGTACAAATATAAAAAAAACTAATATTTCTTATATAAAAGTGTACATATGTTACGTTTACTTCATTAAAAAAAAGTATTTCCGAAGGGCTGAGCCCCTCATGGAAAGGGCAACTGCTTGTTTTGCTTCTAGGTAAATCCGGCCTAGCCTGCGCGGGGCGGCGCGGGCCGGGCGACAGCAGCGGCATGACAACTCACGCGATGCAGCAGGTTGATCCTGCTCGGCCGCACGAACTGGAAGCCGCCCCGGAACAACAGGGGCTCGCACATCAGACTCACGTACGACAGCGCCTCCTCCCTGTAAAGAGCAGGACGTTCGTGTTGTTTTAAATTCAATTTTAGTGCTCGTGTGACAGTTCTGTGTTTTGACATCGATCGTATTGGAGGAGACGGCACCATTTCGGTGTGTTAATAGTTTCATACAGTCTAATTTTCACTTTCACTTTCATTTACAGTCAAGTTTTCATGGAAGCAATATACACTGAAATATTGTAAGCTAAGTTTTAAATTCAATTTTAGTGCTCGTGTGACAGTTCTGTGTTTTGACATCAGTCGGACTGGAGGAGACGGCACCATATTGTAACAACCAACACGCGCTGCGTAGGGAAACGCGCGCGGTTAGCGGCCCGGTTCTAGCTCGTCGGATCCTACTCCCTTACTCTATGATTCAGTGATGGAAGGCATTGTAAGCGAAAGCAGGCAGGCATTCAAAACAAAACAATTTGGTTATTGGTAAAGGACAATGTTTATTCCTGGAACAGGGGCTGTACCAGGAGAAGTACATCCGATGAAAAGAAAATGGTGAATAAAATAAAATAAGATTAGAAAATTAAGAAGAACTTACTAACTAAAGAAGAGTGGTACAAAAATTATTCTATAGCTACAATTACAAATTTGTCCCTGAGGACCTTTCTGTGCCTCAGCGCGGCGCCGCTTTAACAATAGTCTCTAAGGGCTTATTGACCCTGATTACGTTGCCTGGCAAACCGCTCCGTGACAAAGTGTGCTCAGTAGGGCCCTTGCGATGCGCGAGGCAGCTGGTGGGCGGCCGGGATGTCCTTTCCAGTACGCGCCGGGGCACGCCTTCACAAAGGTGGGCGGGGCTGGCGGCGGTTGCGGCGGTCCGTGACATTCAGCGAAGGGCCGTCTGGAGGGCTGCTTCGGCGGAGTCGTAAATGTCGGGGTGTATTGACCCCGATAACAAATGCGGAGCACCCAGAGATTGTATTCTCGAAGGCGTCTCGCGTTCCTCTCGAACAAATTTCACAGCGAATGCGAATTTTGTAGGGCTGATAAGGCAGTGGCAAAAGATTCGCCTATCCCCCCGTAAGTGCCTTTGCACTTCCTCTCTATAAACTTCAAGTAGAATGCCAGTCCTAGAGGTGCACCCACCTCTCTCTCCGCGACCGGCTCCCACCCCAGAGAAGTCTCTCTCTCTCTAGTGTAACTTTGTTTCTGCTCCACGCACGAGGTTAACTCTTCTCCCCACCCTTTCTCCTCATGTGTTCATGCCCCCCTAAAAAAGATCGCTTTGCTATTGGCTAAAGGTGATGGCGTTGTACACTTAAATTTGGCCAATAGGGCTCCGGCGAAGTATAGAATTTTTCCCGTTCACTGTTTCGAAAGTTGGGTCATGTCTCTGAGGGTGCTTCCCAGCTACTGAAATTATTGCTTCGGGATTCCCCGATTACGATGACAGGCGTTTCGGAAGTTATTCCAGCGTGGGCTTCCGCTTGGCGCTTTTAGTTTTAACCCCTTTGTTGCGGTTGTTGGGTGGGGTGCCATAAAACCTTTCGAAAATGCGGGTCAGGGGACCGTGGCCGTTGCAAGAAAGGGGCTTGCGCGCGTGACGGCCGTATGTTTTTTCTTCAGTACAAAATTCCTTAGGTCTGCTTTACTCAATAGAATTTATCTGAAATTATGTACCGCTACAATATCGGTGTGTTAATAGTTTCATACAGTCTAATTTTTAGGGAGGAATAACTTCAATAGTTTATATTATATTGACATATTAATCCAATTAATTTAATAGAATTATATTGAAATGCGTATTACTAAGTTTTCATGGAAGCAATATACACTGAAATATTGTAAGCTATGATTTAAATTCAATTTTAGTGCTCGTGTGACAGTTCTGTGTTTTGACATCGATCGTACTTGAGGAGACGGCACCATATCGGTGTGTTAATAGTTTCATACAGTCTAATTTTTAGGGAGGAATAGCTTCAACAGTTAATATTATATTGACATATCAATCCAATTAATTTAATAGCATCTTATGGAAATGCGTGTTACTAAGTTTTCATGCAAGCAATATACACTGAAGAGCCAAAAAACTGGTACACGTGCCTAATATCGTGTCGGGACCTCGCGAGCACTCAGAAGTGCCAAAACACGACGTGGCATGGAGTCGGCTAATGACTGAAGTAGTGGTGGAGGTAATTAACACTAAGAATCCTTCAGGGCTGAACATAAACTCGTAAGAGTACAAGAGGGGGGAGATCTCTTCTGAACAGCACGTTGCCAGGCATCCCAGATATGCTCAATAATGTTAATGTCTGGGGATTTTGGTGGCCAATAGAAATGCGTAAACCAGAAGAGTGTTCCTGGAGCTATTCCGTAGCAATTCTGAATATGTGGGGTGTCGCTTTGTCCTTCTGGAATTGTCCAAGCGCACAACGGACGTGAATGGGTGCAGGTGATGAGACAGGATGCTTACGTACGTGTCGCCGGCCAAGAGTCGTATATAGATGTATCAGGGGTCCTATTTCATTCCAACTGCACACGCTCCATACCGTCTCAGAGACTACCAGATTGAACAGGCCCCATATTGACATGCAGGGTCCATGGATTCATGAGGTTGTCGCCATACTCGTACACGTCCATCCGCCAAAAACAATGTGAAATGAGACTCGTCAGGCGTCAGTCATCAACAGCCCAACGTCGGTGTTGACGGGCCCAGACGATGGGTAACGCTTTACGTCGTGCAGTCAAGAGTACACGAGCGAAACTTCCGGTCCTAAACCCCTATATCGATAATGTCTCCTTTAATGGTTCGCACGCTGACACTTGTTGATGGCCCAGCATTGAAATCTACAGCAATTTGCGGAAGGGTTGTAATTCTGTGACATGTAACACCTGAGCCAGACTCTAGTTGCCTTATAGTATAGTCGTTGCCAATCGGAGCGCCGTATTCCGATTGGTTCCAGATATCTTTATTTCAATATCCATGGTTGTACCATTTTTTTGGCTCTTTAGTGTACTTTGTGATAATGCCATCGTAACGTTATCATTTTTTCTTGGCACACAGTTATGTAATTTGAGTATTAACGCGTACATTGAGGGTACTTTACCATTAAAAAGGTAACTAATGCTTGTAAAGTTCTTATTTGTAGTTCTAGGCGAACGTTTTTAAAACACATGTGCACTAGCCTACCTTAGCCTGTACAATCTTTGTTTTCATGAAAAAATCAAAACGTTCTCCAACAACTTAAAATGCTGGATATATTAATACATTGTTTAATCTCTCTGAATACGTTGTAATGAGTGGGGCAGATCGAAACCCCCTGCAAAAATTATGATCATCCTTCTCAATAGAAGGATACTAGGAAGACGCTGTCTAAACATTGATGAAAATAGATGGAACACATTAATTTTCTTACATACAGTCGAAATTGACTTTATTTCCAAAGGGAAATGCGGATGTCATCCCGCGGCTCTTCGATCACTCCAATTTTCAACTTAGACCGTCATCCGGCCGTCAGCATTGCAGCTGTTAACAAATGACACTAAAATCCTCCTCAGTCTAGAACAACGCTTCAAGTCTTGGAATTACACATAATGTCGCAAAGATATACCGTTTGCGTCGAAGTCGAAAAATTTTAAAAAAACTTCTTCAGGAATCTAGTGTTTACTTCTGGGGGCCAAAACTGCTGATGTTATAAAGAACGCGGATGTGTGTTTTTCCTACTTGATCTGGCCCATACTTACACTGAAATTAAGGTCATTGTAATATATTTCATGCAATTAAAGGGCGGACGCTACTAACTCTAAAGACTCACGAAACTAAAAGTAAAGTAAAGGGGTGAGTGACTCACTCGGCGCGCGACAGGTTGCCCCAGCGCCAGCGCAGGTGCGCGTCCGTGTAGTTGAAGAGGTCGGTGCGCACGCGCGTCTCGGGGCAGATGGTGATGGCCGGGAAGGGCACCTCCCACACGGCGCTCAGCCGCTCGTCCATCGCCACGATGACCGGCGAGTCTTGCCAGCGCCGCCACGCGCGCCCGATCAGCACGGCGCTCGCCCCCAGCGACAGCGCGAACGCCAGCGCCCACACCAACCTGCGCGCACACTCATTCGTCATGGAAAGTGACTGCACAGTTAGATTGACAAGGGGGATGGCTGGCAACTTTCATGCAGTTCGACTAAAAAAGTCCCGGGCCGTTCTTTTAAGTGGCCCTTCTTCTATCCGTGAAAAAAGAAATGGAGACAAATCTGGAGTTGTTTAAAAAAATATTTTTATTAACTCCCTTAATTTCAAGCACAAACTACGCGAAAACTACCCGTTTCTTTTACAAAAAATTGTATATGGTAATTATATACACTAAAGAGCTGGTTTTGACTGACAACAGACTTTGTCTAAGGCAAAAATCTCTTCAATTTTATGGTTTTGTAATTTTAGCTTTTTTCAATTTTTAAAAGAAACGAAGAGTTAGCCGAAAAAGGGACTAGCGCCACATTTTTTACTTGATTGGTACATATAAGATAATTTGGAGACAAAAATTGGACTGGTTTTTTGAGAAAATATATTTAAAAATTAAAACCGCTAATATTTCACGGTTTTGCAGTTTCGCTATTTTCGAAAAATCTGTTATTTCAACGAACATGAGACCAGTACTATTCTTTACCGAAAGCGTTTTTTACGATATCCGAAGACAAAGTTCAATCAAATTTTGGTGTCATTTTTGAGAAAATTTTGAAAATGTTTTTGAGACTTCTTGCAAATTATCCTTAAAAAATCAAAATATTCGTTTGAAACTCCCAAAGCCGAGTTCATTCAGATTGATGGAGGAATATCAATTTGAGAGAAAATCGGCTGAACAATCTAGATGACCACAAACGGATAGACACATTTTGCCGACTATCGAATTTTCAGTATCAAGAACCCACAAAGCATAGATTCGGGCAACACCACATGTTAAAGTAAGTAATTTACCAGCAACATGATTTCGTTACCAGGGTCCAGGAATAAGAGTTTTCCTGCCGAAAATTCGCTGTTTTCCGGCGGACGATTACATAACTTTCTCGTCTTACGAAGTAAATGCGGGAAAGTAAAAACCGTTATCTGCATATTATAAAGCAACTATTAAAATTATTTTCCTTTTAACTACCTTCATTTTTGTATCCCTCCGAACCCCTTTATTTGGACGCAGAAATACTATCAGAGACGACGATCTGTACAGAAACTGGATTGCACTAAGGACTCATCCCATTTTCGTACTATTTTTGTCCACTAATGGATGAACACAGAGCCGCTTAAAGCGGGCGCAGAGAGAGCAATCTCTTTGAAACGACTTGTTTATGAGTCGCGCGCTTGACCTCAACTGTCAAGTCCCTCCGAGGGCGGGCAGTGGGCGACGGGGGCGCTAAGTGTGAGGACGCATTGCGTAATGTGTATATATGGACGTCCCAGGGGGCGCCGCTGCGAGTCGAGGGCGTCGCCTGCGTGGCCCCCGCCACGTACCGCCTCGCCTGCCCCACGCCCTCTGACGCCAGGGCCGGATTTAGGTTTCGCGAGGTCCCTATGCACCGAGTTTCTGGTGACACTGCTAGTGTATCAGACCCATTATACCCAAGTTCGCGGGTTCAAATATGATCGAAGTAGTGAATGTTAAGGGCGAAAAAATCCTTCGTACTCCTTCATTCGGATGGGAAAAGACGGCTGCCCTTGTATATTTACTGCATGAAAAAGATCCTCAAGTCTAAAAGAACCCTCAGAGTTAAATTCAAATCGTTTGTTTCGTCGCTCGACTTATACTGTCTTTCTCTGCTAGATGGCGAGAGGAGCGTAGTAGAATTTGTGTAGTGCAGTCCTTGTGTTAAAAATGTATCATGAAATTGAAGCACAAAATTGTGTGGGGGGTCCTCATCCACAAAAGAATCATTAATATTATAAAAATTAATAATACATAATTTATATGATAAAATATACATAATATACATTTTAATTTTTAAGAACAGAAGACTTTTAATTTACAGTTCAAAATATATTTCATGACATTTTTCGAATATTTTATATTTTTCCAAAACGCTCCCCCCATATATGAAGCCCCTAATAACCTACTTATTTTGTTTGAGTGTAAATATGAATCTGACTGAAGCAAGCAACGAGATTCACTAACTCAGAACGAATCCGCCGTTGAAAAACAATTCTATAAGCATAAGGGCTCTCCGACGTTAGAGGAAGTCCAGACTTTCCAACCCGTTACAGATAAAGGTTTCCGTTGATTTTATATTCTTAGGGTCTGCATAACTACCTTCGAATAAAGTTCTACCTAGAGCTATCCGGAAGTTTGAGATCGAAAATCGTATAGCTGGTTAAAGAATATCGGGAGGTTTATCTGGAAGACAACCACGGAATGAAGAAAAGGGTAGCACGTTAACTACTAGTTAACTAGCAGATTCTTTTCTCAAATGAAGACTTATCCAATGTGGTATGTCAAAAAATATTCTGAGGATCAAATTTTTCGTGCTGTATTTTCACAAAACAAGATGAGCTAACCGTGTGCGGCAAGGTCGTTAATGTTTTTAAAGGCTGGAAATGCAGTGGATAATTTGTATATCGCTCTTTCATCCCACTCTTGCAGTTATTGCAATGAAGCAAAGCGAATGAAGTAACGTTATGTTACAACGGTCGATAATATTTGCGAATATACTTAATTATATTAGTCATGAGTTTTACACATCCAAATTATTTAGTTTCCAATCATTATTGTTATGAAACATTTTTGAATTTCGTTTCATTACAGAAAATGTTTCAATGTACTTTGTATCAAAAAATGTTCTCAAAACATTTTTTTCTCCTTGGTGAGGTATTCGTATTCAAACGACTTTTGGTTTTCTATTGAATCAAGACCTAAAGAGAATGACGTATCACAACCATATTGCTACTTGATGCTATAGCTCCTATCATCATATTTCTACTATCTCTAATCGAAGTCATTCGTTTTATAGAATGTTTACTAACACGCAAAGAAATGAACATAACACCCAAAAAGTATTGCCAACCAGCGTCAATTTCTTGGTTAATGGTGGAGATACCACTTATCAATAAGGCAATTTACCTGAGATTTGGCTATCGGTGCTCTTAACGGAAGGTGGTAATACAATCCATTAACATATCAGATGGCTTACCTTAAGCGAACAGTGGTGCGTAAATCTTATTTCTTCAATAAAGTACAGAACACAACTATTTCAAATAATAAACACAATTTATTAGTTCTCAGATATCTCTAGAGGTACGCCATAAATTGCATTCAATGGAGTCTAATATGTATTTACTTGGCTGTCCGGGTGGCATCGCGGCCATGGCGAAGGTGCCGACGTTTCGGTCGCCATTCTGCGACCTTCGTCAGGGCGTAATGCCACTTGGCGATTCTACTTTACCCAGGGCGTAATGCGACCTGAGGAAGGTCGCAGAATGGTGACCGAAACGTCGGCACCTTCGCCATGGACGCGGCGTCACCCGGACAGCCAAGTAAATACTGACTCCGGCCGCGGTAGCCTACGCTCTCATCTAATACGTAACCTATGTATTTACATTTCTCTTTGCGCTCGCCAATTTTGAACATAAATAATGATGCTCAATACACATGTATTAGTAATTTGAGCTTTTTCTAGGGGACCTTACGCTGCATGGAAGATGAATCGATACGCCATAGGTTTTCACCTGGTATAAAATGTCAAGTTGTCTGCCTGTGAAATAGGAAGCCTTACCTCTCGGGCCAGGGCCGGCGGCGCTCGCCGATGTACTTGAGGCCGTGGATGGAGGTCTGCGCGCAGAAGGTCTCCACGTGCTCTGCCGCGCGCTTCAAGCGGCCGCCGCCACCGCCGCCACCGCCGCCGCCGCCAGCCTCCTCCTGGGCCTTCTCGCTCCTGCGCGCGACCGAAGCTCAGCCAAATGGCGAATTTCAAAGACAAATTGAAGAGGTAATGGTATTAAACAACAACGCAGCTTTGAGATTACGCTCTTTTAGTGTGTGCGAGCGTATACTGATGTCCGAGACTACCATTAGGTTCGTCGAACAGTCTTCGTCCCAATCAGCATTACTGATTTTCATTTTTCCGTCAGTCGACAGAATGACACCTCTCAAATTTTCTTCATCCGCCATTGATGTATAAATGCGATCTTAGGATAAATGTTACAAACTTCTAGGGCACGTGGGGTAATAATAACTTTCTGCAAATGGACATGTGGTAAAAAACACATATAACATAGTTCCGCCTGATGGATAAGTATATTTGCCTCTGATGGATAAGTCACTAATTTTGCACTCATGTTTGACAGGTACATAATCTGTAGGTCATGAACTTGCCAAACACAGGGGTACATTAAGTAGTCTATTAATCAGGGACAAATGTAGCATGTCATGTAATTATGTTTCATGAATTTTCTCACCACACGTTCATTTGATAAAAAATATTTTCGAGTACCCTACAAGCTCTAGTAGTAGTAGTTGTAAGTAAGTTTGTAACATTTATTCCGAAACAATCTCTGTTAATCAATGTTGGATGAAGAAAATCTGGCAGGCGTCATTCTGCCGACTCTGATGAGAAAATGATAATCAGGATCACTGATTGTGACGAGGACTGGTCGAAGAGTCTAATAGAATGATCATCTAGAAAAGAAACGCAAAATGTAGGATTATTACTTTCTGTCGCTGATTCTATCCGTTATGGGTTCTGGTGACTTCCGGAGTCGTCCTTATTTAAGAAATTTGTTCGAATAGATATAAATGCCGAAAACCCAACGCTACAAAATAATCATGGCGGTTCGGATGACCGAAAACGCTAAGGCAGTAGTGTCATAGCGATTTCGGACCGAAGGATCGCGGGTTCAATTCATGCCTCGGACATGGTTGTATTGTGTTCGTTCTTTCATCATCATATCGTGTCATTCTCATAATTACCATACTGATAGTGGTTGCTAATGACCTAGTAGTTGATGCGACCTTAAATTTAAAAAAAAAAAAATAATCATGAGGATTTTAATATTCTTCTGCAATATCTTGCTGTTTTGTATTATTTTGACTGTGCATTACAGTCCTCGACATCACGAAATCCTTATTACAAATGCAGAAGTCATGCGGAGGCACCAGTGTCCGTAATTTTGTTTGTAAATTGGCTGCGCTTCGTCACAGAAATTAAGTAAACTAGTCGGATTCCCGTTTTCTCTATTTCCAATTCACTAATTCTGAAAATCCCGTACTTTCATTAGAGTAATGGATGGACTACGTTATAGTCCATCCAGTAGGAAATTAAAATTCTAACAAACTCATTGATATGCTGATTGTTAATTGGTCAATTTCCTTCTCTGCCAGAAAAGATGGAGAATACGTGTGCTACTCCACTGAAGGAGCTACCCCATCTTGCTTAAATCAAATGCTGAAATCCTGCTTAAAGCACAAGCATGCAGAAGTAAAAACTGGAAAACAATGTTTCGTTAAGGAATTCTGTCTCTTACAGCTGACGCCGTGCGGACAAAATTCCGCTTCATCTTAGTTATGAAATGTTCGCCAACTGGATACAGAATTCTATCGGATTGAAAAGTATACTTCCTTAATTTAAAAAAACGATCAACGATGTGTAATTCCAACAAAATCACAGTAGAGAAAACACTGAAAATATTACAATTAATACAGGATTGTTAATCATGAAATAGGGTAAATTGGAGTAAATATAAACGGATAATTTGTACATGCTAAATGCATTTAAACAAAAAATACTATTAATTAGTAACAATACAATTAAAATACAAATTTCAATAAAATACGAATAAACTCATTCGATTATTAGAATAGTTTGGAATTGATGAGGCGTTAAGAATCGATCCAAGTTCGAGCACACTCGACTTGAGGAACCTTCTAAACATAAGACATGTTATGTACCATCGCCGACTCGTAAAATGGGTAACGGTCAAATTATGAAGTCCCACTCTTTCTGCACATTCTGGGAGCACTATGCGGAGGAAAACGCCATCTCGTTCTTTCATAGTTAACTATTACAGTATAACATTCTCAACTGTCGTCCTGGTATATAAGATAATCTTTGATTTCTCCTTTTTTCACTGCTCCAGTGATTTAATTATGCTTCTTAATCTTCAATACTAGGTATGGTATTAATTTTACTTCATCACTATACATTTTATATATGAATTACTTTACATACACGTGTTCGCTTATAACGTCCATTAATTTTGGTATATTCATAACATTTGGCAAAAATATTGATGTAATTCTGATATTTGTCTCATTTTTTGTTTAATTTTCATGGAGTCGAATTTAGGTAGCTAAATTTTGTTCATTAAACCCCAAAATATCCTAACAGTCATTTCAGATTCAAATAAAAGCTACAATTATATTGCAAATAATACTAACTTAAAAATGATTTTTTACCAACGGTTAAAAAGAGATGTGAACATGACCCTGGCCGCAGGGTAATAGTAAATGACTAACGACAATTACTACATTTAAAAAGGATTTCAAAGAGGATTATATTGTAACGTCGTGTGTAGGGATCTACACCACAAGGAAACAGACACGAGTGAGTATATACAAGTTTTATTTACACACTGTACATATTTACATCCCTCACTCTAAGGCGGTTTGCCAGAGCTACCACTGCAGCCCTCCTCTCCCTACGTGCGCCTTGCGGCGACGCCTACGACCAGCCTGCAAGGCCGCGTCGCAGATAGACACCTGGTGTGCCCCGGCAGATTGACGATCTGCCCGAATGTGTTTGAAGAACACATCACCCTGTCCGAACTCGTCGAACACCCACGTGCCCTCGGCACTCCGCACCAGCCTGGGCGGACAAAGTTTTTGTGGTCTAGCCACGAGGAAACCAAAATCGTTACCCACCCGCGCCGTCTCGCCACGGCGTCTTTATAGGTCCAGGTCACCTGACCTCCTACGTCACTACTCCCCACCCCCGCGCGGTGGAAAGCCTTTCCCTGGCGCTGCCTGGCCCGCGGACCATTTCCTGTCGGGAAAGTCCCGTCTTTGTTTGGGCGTCTATCTTTAGATCCCCCAGCCCTCTACCTTGCACTCGGCTGCTGCCAAGCCGTGACGCTACAATATCAAGCGACTAATGCCCCCAGAAGGGCTTGTTACGAAGGCGCAACTTTAAAAACAAACTTGTTCATCCTATGAATGGCTTATATATTTTATATTATCTGTTTAAACGATGGTGCTAATGTTGTGTGAAAACTGTGGATGTTACGACCGTTATAAGGTAGTGGGTTTGTCGTTAAAATGGCTTCATATGCTCAAAGAATTTGTGCGTCCCCATAAGATGACTTTCTTAGCATTTACGTATTTAGGGAACATTTGTAAAACCTCAAGTTTCCATGATTTTGATAAGCAATGACCTCAATCGACTTGCTTTCTGAAGGTAGTTTCAAATAGCATTGCAGTGTCAGGGTCGGATAGAAAAAGAGTGCCGCTAAATGCATGTTGCGTTTGCAAAACGGCTTGAAGGGTAGATTTGTGGGAGAACTGCGAAAAGATTGAATCTCAAAGAAATGGGAGTTGTCATGGCATGCTAATTTTTTATAAACAATTACATATTATGAAAACGAAATACTATAGTTCCGATCGGATTACGGAATTTTGCATCTCGTTTAAAGGCAGTTTACATTACGTTTACATTTTCCCTTTACTTAGGTCTCTGCAATAAACGAGAATAAGATACTCATTTATCCCAGTGAGTCAGGGGCATATGAAAACGCGACGAAAAAGATTTATTTCTTCTTGAAATTAGTTGTTTTATTTAAAATTCCTATCCAGTTCCAAGGGCGAGGTAGTTTCAATTCATGCAAGGTGTCCAAACTTATCCGCGCCAAAGTGAAACCATGGGTTGTGATGACTACGAACAATGATGTCTTCAAGTGTATTAAAATCCGAAAACCTATTGTTGTAGTGTAGTATCGCTATCTCCATGTACAACTCGATTTGACGTTAAGTAACGAAAATACATTTTGCCACAGGCAGATCGCCTATTACGCCCTACTGCGCTCGAAAACTTTGAAGGGTGGGGAAATAGAAAGCTTTATGTGACGCCGGCTTCGCGGAGAGAATAAGTTAGTCTTTTCTTTTGTTTCCATCTTCCACTGGTCGCTGTCCCTGACAGACCCGCTGTAGAGAGAGGTGTGCGGTTTCGCCAAAGGCCGATCGAGCTAGTCCGCCTCTAGGGAAGAGTAGACGAGAACCGCGATGCGGAAGCCGTACACATACCATACACTCGGCCGGTGAATAAAATAATTACTAGTTGCACCCGAGTTCGGTACAGTTCTAGGTAAAGAATAGGTTCACTATTTTTCGGAAGAAGAGCGTTTTCTGGTTTATGATTATTAACCCATAAACATTGTATACAATTTGTTTCGTCATCAGATGATGCGCGGTAGTGTTTTTGGTGCGGATAAGACAGGACACTTGAATAAAAATTCGCAGATATAAAAGAGAGTTTAGGATTAAAATGAGTCATTTTATCAGAAATGATTAAAGCTTTCCAATTAGCTCAATTAACCCTAAATGTAGTACGAGTTGTCAGAACCCCCTTTTACCAATGTGGACAAAGGTTACGAAAACAGTGGGGAGCTGACCCTGTGCCCAGACTACCAGCGCGCTGGAATCAGGATCTACGTTCTGCGGGGCACCTCCGCAATTGTGTTGATGCCCCCCCACCGAAAGAAGGTTCTCTGTAGAAATGTATTTTTCCAAATTTTCTAAAAAGTTCAAATATTAAAAATTAAATGACAATACTGTACAAAGGTTAGCACAACAAAGTAACTGATCAACAATTGCCGTACAGAAACCAAACATATTTTAGTACGTGTTTCGAAAATTGAGTTTCTTCGGATTTCCTACGGATGAGGGGGGTCCTAAGCAGCTACTTATTTTGCGCGGCCAATCCGGCCCTGAGAGGGCTGTGAGCTCACCTGGCGTCCGTTGCCGGTGCTGCTGGTTCGTCCATCGCGCTGCGGGTCCGTCGAGTGAGTGTTTCATCGCCCCGGGCGACGCCACGCCTCGCCCTGCCCTGCCCCGCCCCGCCCCGCCCCGCCCAGCGCCACGCCCTCGGGCAGTCCCTGAGGGCGATTGCGAGCCGCTCACTGGGGACGAATCGGGGGCGACTCTCAGCGCGGGGCGCTCAACGTCTCATGGACGATGAATTGCCGTAGTATTCAAAGTGGCCTCGTCATTTAAATCATTACCGGAAAAAACACGAAAACATTATTTCGAAAAAGAGTATACACAGAAATGGAAAAACACAACAGTTGTAGGAAATATTTATACACCAAGGGCTTTATAAGGGTTTCAATGATATCGGGCGAGAAAACGCCTTCGAGCTTCGTATCGCAGGCAATCTGTAATGTACCAGTAAAAAATAAATATTGTTTTGATAAATACAGGATAATTAAACAACTCTTCGAAACAAAATAACCTATAGTGAACAGGTTATGTTGGATCGTTAACGCAAAAGAATTGAGGGAAGATTGAAAAAGAATGTTAATGTGTGCACTAATGACGGGAGTTAATTGTTCTCATGCAAAAGAATGTGACATACAATAACTCATTGAAATTGCCTTTAGACTGAAACGACATTCATTTTTCAGATAGTTATTATAAGTTGTAAGAATATTTTGGAATAATAATAATAATAATAATAATAATAATAATAATAATAATAATAATAATAATATCGGGAAAACATTTAATTCATTTTATATACATGTTTCAAGTAGTAAGCTTGATATAAATAATTACCTAAAATCTGTTCTTAACAAAATAATGCCAATAAAGTTATTTAAATTATATTTTTTTAAACACTTGGTAAGGAAGTCAATAGTAAAGCCGCGATGCAAACAAATTAAATAAACGAATCATAAAATTAATAAATGAATCAAACTCATCTACTTGACAAACCACTTTCAAAAAAATCACAATAACAATTAGTGTATATAATGATATCAAAATAAAAAGGAGAATATAAATTAACTAACCATACCCCTACGTAGTGGCCATTTTCCAATGCGAATTACGACTATATACAAATCTCTTCTAAAGTTATTTTTATTTGTAATTTATTTCCACAGAAATATTAGGCAAATTATTTAAGAAAATTGGCATGAGTGGAAATGTTACTCAACAATAGCATTTTTATTTATTTTACAAAAATCTGTACGTTACATCTAACGGTTTATGTCGCTGTATTCGTGTTACTTTGCTATTATCTAACACATTGATAGCAAGATGATTTGGATAATTTTTCAGTCTTCTGAGATATTTATGACTCGACGACGTTATTTCTTTGTGATGGTACTGATTTGAAGATCATCGTTGTGCATTTAATAACTGACACACCACGGTGCGTCCGTTACTCATCAAAGATTTTTAGTTTAAAATAGCTGAAGATTTTTCATATTGGACGCTAAGGTGAGCCACAAAGTCGGATTATTTCTTATATTTTGTCGAAAAAGATAAAATTATCTACAACTGCTCCTACTTTTTTATCAAAATTTGCAGTTATACATTCTTTAAGTCGTATTTCAATTGTATTATTAGGAGAGTGAAATTTTTTAGAAACGAGAAAAAAGCTTTTTCAATCCATAGCAGAGAGTGGGGTGAAACTGAAAAGCTAGTCCGGATTACAAAGATTCAGAAACTAACTAGTACGAGGAAGTCTGTTCCTTAAGTAATCAAATTCATTAGGTGACAGTATTAACAGCTCACTACAAAAAATCACATATAATTCATGTACATTATTTTACACCTTGCGAGATGACCTTAAACGATTAAATCCGATACAAACGTTTTAGTCGCATATAAAATCTTTTCTGCTGCACATCTGTTTTTATACAATTAGACACTATACCGAGCTTCCAAACGGAAAGTAATATTAATTATAACAAGGACATTTAGTGTAATATTTACCATTTGGATTGTATAATTCTAAAAACCTGTAACAAGTATTGTTCTTCAGCTTCTGGGTCAATGGCCCCCATGTCGATCAGGTTTTCGTCTAGTTTCTACTAATAAATATAAATAAATAAATAAATAAATAAATAAGTAAATAAATAAATAAATAAATAAATAAATAAATAAATAAATAAATAAATAAATAAATAAATAAAATTTGAGACTAATTTTTTACTGTCAGTTGTTATTAAGGTCACTGATTGTGAATAAAATAGTTTGTCGTCATGGTACTATATAGTCTTGGAAACACAATAGACAGCGCAAATGTTCATCTTTAAACTTGATGCGAAATAGATGAAAAAATTCTGTTAATTTGGGTTTGTAAAAAAAACCGTTTCAAAATGCAATACACCTTACCCGAACAATGTAATTGTAGAACGTGAAATTTTAAATTATTGGGTGATGAAAGGGTATTGTGATATGGTGGGTGGTTGTGATATTCCTGAATGTACAAAGGTATCAATTTTGCTCTAACATTTGTGTTAATGGGTGGCGCGCAAGATTCGTTTTACTGTTTTCATCTATGGGCGAATTTTTTTTTTACTGGAATTGTATCCCAACACCAACTTCGAACTTCGCGCGTTTATTTCAGTAAACGATCTTCGTGCCCTCTTTGAAACACGCCTCGTTACTATGTAACTCAAGTAGAGGGAGATAGATGGCTCTGCTGTCGCAACGCTCCTCTGCTCGGTATGGGTTCAGTGCTTTCGAGAAGGGCGTCCAACAGGCGCACAGGGTAACGTTCTAAAATGAATGCTGGGGTGGATTATTACAATAGATGTCTAAGGATGTTATTATATAAAATTCAGCACCAATGAAATATTTTTAAGAACTACAAGTAAGCTGGACACTAAACCCACAGCCCCATTCCCACACAGTAAATGTATGGTTGCGTCACTGTGTTTGTTATGGAATAAAGAACTTCAACAAGTTTTGTGATGGGAAAAAGAATAAAAAGAATGGAGCACCACAGTTCTTTGAAATTAATATTAATGACCCACTTTACGTAAATATATACATGTAGAGAGATGTGTACGCTGTTTGAATGAAATTGAAATCACGTGAATATTTGAAATCATATGTGTGATTCACAAGTGATCTCAAACATGGTGGAATTACAATTCAGTCACTAGAAAATCAATTCGAGATCTGTCAGTTTGCTCAGTTACGCGATTTTAACTACATGGACTTCTTCCAGTAGAGAGTTAATGAAATTATGACTCAACAAGCGTACGCTCAAAAGAAAGACTTTGAAGCTCCGAAAACCCTGTAAACAGGAAGTCTGAGCTGCTTTAAAAACTGCCTTTGTTACTGTATTTGTATGACGTATAATATTGTTTAAGGTAATACAAAAGTAATGATGTATTTTTAGTTTCGTTGGTTTACCAGAATTTTTCCGTTGTACAAATACTATTTTTTGCAATCATTTATGCAGAAACCAAAGATTCAGATGCTCATAACGGATTCCCATACCTTACGCCATATAGGGTGATATAATACCGAGTTAAAGCGTCTTTTGGTTTTATATCTTTGTGTTTGCGCTTGTTTATAATTTACTTGACTGGTTTACGATGAATACATTTTTCTGACTTTTCTACAGAGCTTTCTTGCTGTATGAAAGAGATGAATATTTATACGTAGGAATATAACCAAAGTAAAGTTAATACATATTTAAGTTCCTTTATTCTCCAATACAATTACACAGTGGTAAAACAAGTTTTTATCAAAGGGAAAATGAAAACATGCATTACTTACATAGTTCCGAAGGTGGCAATTCTTCAATTTATGGAAGAGTTAATGGTTGGAATAATTACTTTCTACGTTCCTCTTCTACCTAAGTCTGACTTACTATTCGTTTGAGCAAGGTTGCCAGACGTATAGATCTTTCCCCACCACTACTACGGCATTTCCCCACATAACCTCTCCAATGAATCAAAATTCCTCAACTTTGAAACGAAAAATATTCTACAAATTACTACATGAGCTATGACCCTGGCGATTACTTTGGCTGTCCCCTTAAATTCAAATAATTCAAATCAACCAATCATCGTTCATTGTGTTGTTCAAAATCATATAGTATCTTTGCTTTTCTTATATTTTTCTTTCTCTAAGCCTGTCTTTTATTTTTCTCCTTTTGATTCATAAAAAAACAGAGAAAAACGTATGTTGTTTCTTTTTTATTCATAATAATTGAGAGAATAACATTTCTAGCTTGACTCGGGTTTAAAATATTTTTCCCCAAACATTTCCTCTACCATTTATGTTCCCCAATTTTCCCCACAATGAGACAAATTCTCCATTTTAGGGACCAAATTCCCCAATCTGACAACCCTGCGTTTGGGCTTCCGACAGCCGGTAGTTTGATCACTCTTAAATGTTTCTCTTCTGCGTCATTCTTCGATACTTTATTCATTTCAATGATCACACATACAATATGTTTAATTTCCAATCGTACGATTCTGACACAACAGTATACAAAATTATATTAAGATTAAAGACAATAATAGACTTAAAAATATATTTTTTAAATTCTCTGTTGAAATTAAAAACACTGCTGCAAGTAAATATTTAACAATTTTACTATTAAGCAGCCTACGAGTATATAACATTTCAACGATTACGAACCTTAGTGCTCGTTAAAACTTGAGATAATTTATAACTTGGTTAATAATTTTTTAAACTCACAGTGAGTTCACAGTGAAGGGGAGCCAATTAATCTTTAACTAAATTTGGGGCTTGTAAGAAGCCGTACCTTGATGCAATTAAAAAGGCGTCCATTGACAAATTATCAGTGCTTTTATTAATAATGTAATTTACATAAAGAATTGATTATGCCATTATTAATTAAAATAATTTATCATCATAGTGCATTTTGGGAGAATTCTTCTCGATATATTTTTATCCTCCTTGTCCTCGCATGCGTCTAATAATTTCAATAGATTCAGGTAACTGAATATTCAAGTATTGTCCTTTAGTCATTTATGAGCACGAGAAAAA